ACGAGAAACCTTTCATTCACTCACAAGTCATGCTGATTTCTAACATATTTCTATTTTAATCACAAATCAAAAGATTCCAAATTTAAAAGTTTATTATAACACACATAAAAATCTCATAATCTTGAAACTTTTGACAAATACAAGGTATATGGTGTTGATTTATACAGAATTTATTTAAGTAAATTGATAGTGTAGGAAAAACTATTTAGTTTATAGACATGCTTTCAAATCTGTCCCTGGAAACTGGTATAACCAGTACTGAATAGTAAGTTCAAACTTTCTTGCTCAAGGATTCAATGACTTGCCCTTGACAGGGTTTGAACAAATGTGGCTAGTGATCATAAGATAACCAACACATTAACCACTTTGCCATGCTGCCGTTAAAATATATGATTTTTCATTACTTTATACCATTATCTATAAGGCAATATACATGTATTACAGGTGTTTAGCACCACCCACCCCCCCCCCCCCCACCACCACAGGTACAGCGTCCCCAGCTGATATTGCGGCAATCAGAATTCGTAGTGCAACGTTGCAGATTGACCTGTCATTGACTTATACTTTCATGAACAAAATTAATGTACTTCAAATTAAAAGATATCTGAGCTCGAAAAAAAAGGCAGTTATAGAAAAGCCTTCTCATTATTTACTATTATAGTAACAGCAACATAATTAGAACTGATCTGGGCACATGTATTTGAAATCAAATTTTTTGTTGGCAAACATGTGGCATTGAATGCTTTTTTTGAAGAAAGAAAATGAGTATACAACTGTCATGACAGTGAATAACATTATTATTCAGTTTATACATATATACTATATTGGTGAACATGCATCTTGATATGCTAAGAATCATTTGGCAATGTAGTTCTCTTTTTCCTTTTTACCTACATTACCAATATCCCAGAAACTGAATTTGACTAGTGTAGCACATTTATAAATACAATATAATATAAGTAAACATTAAAAAGCATCATAATAATTAAGTTCCATGCTTAAATTTACAGACAAAAATCGATGATGACGCTTTCCGACATGTTTTTTTTCTTTACTGTTCTCCATAATATGTCCTTTAACTTTAATATGAAGCATTTCTTCAATTCCTCCACATGCCATACACATATCATAAAGTATAAAGTTTGTTATTGCCAAATTACACATTCAATTACACAAAAAATATTTACACACACATATATAATGCTTCATGTGTATTGTCTATTATGTGCAGTAGCCGTGTTAATATTTTTTTATGGTCCCAGTACCCCTGTATTATAAATACATGCATGAATACATTGTTTTTACCTCCGCCGTCAGCTACAGGGAAACTGTGAAAAAGGAGACACACACAAGTGAATCATTAAGCGACGCACTATGTACATAAAACTTCATGGTTTAAATTCCATACTGATATCAGGTGAGCAATAATTTCCTTCATAGCTCCCTTGTTTTTAGGGTGGGTTTTCTTGTTCGTTTCTTTTTTATACGTAGTCTTAAACTAGAGAATGAAGTAAAGTTTAAACAAGGAAACAAAAAACAGTCATAAATAACATATCAGGGTAAATAATATACAAAACAAAAAGTCAAGGAAACAAAACAAAAAGTCAAGGAAACAAAACAGGGTCAACGGGCAAGGATACATAACAGATTCAAGGATACAAAACAGAGATAGTCAAGAAAAAAAGGATATAAAACATATATTAGACTCAAGGAAACAAAACAGATAGTCAAAGATACAAACATATAGGGTCAATGGAACAAAACAAATAGAGCCAATTATTAAACAAAGCAAATAGTCAATGATACTAAAAATATCTCCAAGGAAACAAAACAGATAGTCAAGGAAACAAAACAGATAGAGTCAAGGAAACAAAACAGATAGAGTCAAGGAAACAAAACAGAGTCAAGGAAACAAAACAGATAGAGTCAAGGAAACAAAACAGATAGAGCCAAGGAAACAAAACAGATAGAGCCAAGGAAACAAAACAGATAGAGCCAAGGAAACAAAACAGATAGAGCCAAGGAAACAAAACAGATAGAGTCAAGGAAACAAAACAGATAGAGTCAAGGAAACAAAACAGATAGAGCCAAGGAAACAAAACAGATAGAGCCAAGGAAACAAAACAGATAGAGTCAAGGAAACAAAACAGATAGAGTCAAGGGAACAAACAGATAGAGTCAAGGAAACAAAACAGATAGAGTCAAGGAAACAAAACAGATAAAGTCAAGGAAACAAAACAGATAGAGACAAGGAAACAAAACAGATAGAGCCAAGGAAACAAAACAGATAGAGTCAAGGAAACAAAACAGATAGAGTCAAGGAAACAAAACAGATAGAGTCAAGAAAACAAAACAGATAGAGTCAAGGAAACAAAACAGATAGAGCCAAGGAAACAAAACAGATAGAGCCAAGGAAACAAAACAGATAGTCAAGGAAACAAAACAGATAGAGTCAAGGAAACAAAACAGATAGAGTCAAGGAAACAAAACAGATAGAGTCAAGGAAACAAAACAGATAGAGTCAAGGAAACAAAACAGATAGGGTCAAGGAAACAAAACAAATAGAGCAAATGATACAAAACAGATAGGGTCAAGGAAACAAAACAAATAGAGCAAATGATACAAAACAGATAGAGTCAAGGATAAATAACAACTAGAGTCAAGGAAACAAAACAGATAGAGTTGAGAATACATAACAAATAGTCAAGGAAACAAAACAGATAGTCAAGAATACATAACAAATAAAATCATGGAAACAAAACAGACAGGGTCAAGGATACAAAGCATATAGAGTCAAGAATACAAAACAGATACTGTCAAGAATAAATAACAAATAGAGACAAGGAAACATCAAAAATACACAACAAATAGTTAAGGAAACAAAACAGATAGTCAAAAAAAAAATTTTTATTCCTTAAAATGTTTGCATTATTTTCAATTAACTTAAATATTTGGTCAACTCTTTTTTTTAAATAGCTTTTATCAGTATAGAAGTTAAACCATAATTTTCCTTGTTATTGTTATACCATGGGACGATCTACAAAATATACCATGGGACCATCTACTAAATATACCATGAATAGTGAAGAATCAGGCAAAAATCTAATCAAATTTGTTTCAACGTCTCAAATTAGGAAAATTCAGACCTCTGTTTTAAGTAATCTGAAAACAAATTCTTAGTAACATTCTTGAAAAAAAAACACAATAAAACAATTTACATTATACAACACAGTACTAGTATATAAATAAATGCTCACTCATTTGTTGTTGTTTTTTTCCCTTGTTTTGTTTAGCTTGTAATGTTCAGAACTAACATTAAAATTTCAAATTTCAAATGCTCCAAATGTGGAACAGTTTGAAATTTTTAATACTGGCTTAGTATAAATGTTGTCTTTTTTCTTAAGTATTTTTTTCAATTTTTGCCTGATTCACATTTATAATGCAATGAGCACATTGATAAAATAACTTTTAAGATAGAAAATATTCTCTATTATGAACCTAGATAAAAATACTGCATAGTAAATGGAACAGAAACCATTTCTTGGCATAACTGCAAATAATGGAAATTAAATATATAATTATAAATGTATGCAAAGTGGAAAAACAGCCTAAAAAGCTTGTTGAAAAGTAATGCAAAGAAAGTTACAATAGCCTCACTAAGTGTATTTTCTATTAAGCAAAATTTAAAATATAACGCACTATCAATAAATCTGCTGCAATTGAAGTGCACAAAAAAGTGCTGACTAAAGTAAAACAACAATTGACTGACCCAATAAAGCATGAAAGAACTTAAATCTATTTTCTTTTTATACAACTACAACTAATTTTGCACTTAATTTGATAGCTAAAATTGAAACTCTGATATTTATATAAGTAAACTTTCTATGTTTTCTACAAGAAAAAATATCAAATGAATGTATTAGAATGAAATTCTTCACCGATATCCAGACAATAACATGTTACATAAATGAGCTGTGTCACATCAAAATGGTACTTGTGTTGTTAATATGATGAAAAGCACATGTTTTTAAAGCTTAGAACCAATTTTAGTTTTAAAGTATGTTTTAAACATACATCACAGTTTCTATATTTACAACACAGAACCTAAGACAGATATAAAGATTCTCACCGACAGACCCGGCTCAATCTATGTTTAGTAAATAAATAAGGATGATTTTTTGTTTGGCAATAAAATTTTTGGGGTAGCTATAGTTTTTTGCAGCTAGGTACCGGAACAGGAAATAAACATTTTATTTTAGGTGGCAGTTCTGATATAAATACAACATGATGTATGACAAGAATGATGTCTATTTCACTATTACTGTTTGAATTATTATTGTCATATAGATTTGTATGTTATTTTGTTTTATAAATGGACAAAGGCAAGTTTATGCTAATAAAATATCACCAACTTCCTCTAGTAAGTTATTATTTTTGTGGTGGTGTTGGAAGTTTACCCTCCAGGTCACACTATGAATTTACCAGAGAACAATTCAGCCACAACATTGTTTCTGGCAGGCTGTGAGGCCGTTGACAAGTACTAGTTGCCTTCACATAATACGCAAGGAACTGATAACTTCCATACATGCCAGAGCAGAGTTACAGTGCAAATGACTGTAGAAAGGAGTTCATGATAAATCCCAATGAAAATGACATGCATCGGCTAGGAATAGAACCATGAGTTTACCAAGTCTTTGCTCTACCTATTCACAGTGCTAATGGGATGGTATAGTGTGTGTTTTTTTAAAGAACAAGCTTAAATAATATTTTCTTTCCATTTACTGATAATTTTCTTTTGATTCAGCAACTTTTTGATGTATTATTATCTAACACAGTACCTTTTAATGTGATATAGCTCAAATTACTAATTTTTTCGGTGGGACAATTTTAGACACCACATGTGACAATATATATCTTATAATACTCAAAAATAATAAGAAAATGGAGTTAAAGGGAGGTAATTCAAAATACACAATTAAGAAGAAGACAGCAAGATTTACCTGACTTTGGGGTTGAAAAGTTTCAATGAGATTAGCGCATTTTTCGTTGTAGCATTTACGGGCTAATTCCGCAGCCGTCAGTCCGTTGTTGTCCGTAATTTCTGGGCTGCAGCCGTTACTTATCAACACTTTGGCACACTGAAGATATAAAAAAATATAAAATCATCAGAACTGTGAACTCCAAAAATATTTAGATAACCTCACCTGAGAGTAGCCATAAAAATGACAGTCAGAACATACCAACCAAAGTAGTCAGAACAGAAAAACCAAATTAGTACTTTTTTCTTAATCTATACAGGATTTACTTTCCACCTGCTGGAATATAAAGTGATTAGTTGTTGCCAACAGTTTAGGTTCTCTATACATTCTTACCAGGCTCTATTATAACTGTTGATAGCTGACAGTCCTATTTTATTATGATATTGAATTCCCTAAAACTTAGAATGGACTGTTCCAAATTCAAAGCAGGGCATATCCATTACACAAATTAAGTGTTAAATCTGAGCCAAATTGATGTGACTCCTTTTATATACCTACACTCTAAAAAAGCGAATTCAAAACTTGAAAACCATTCTTGCAAACAGCAGCATTTCATTGGTTGTTTCAGAACAAAGATTTAAATATCAGCCAATGGCAGAGTTTCTTAAATCTTACTCTTTTTGGATCTCGTGTACTGTGCCAGATAACCATAATAAGGTATATTTTTAAAAATAAAAGTATAAAACTAGAAACCACTGGCAGAGGATAGGATTTTTTTATCTCTATTCTCCATGACTTGAAAATTTCTATGCTGAAAATTGTGTAATGAATTTTCCTGCAATGAATTTGGAACAGTCCATTAAAAGTTTAAGGGATTTCAGTATCAAAATACAAAACCTGAGCTAGCACATCAGCATTATAAAAGACCAGTCAGATTCCACAACTACACTGGCTGCCATTGCCCAGCTCTATACTGGTGGCAAAGGCTTATCCTTCTCAGTTCTTGCTGGATAATAACTTATATTGAATATGACTGAACAGCAGCAAAAATATGAGCTTAAACTGCGTTAAAACAATTACACTGATTCAGTATGGACCCTTCATTTGTTTGTTTGTTTGATTTTACGCCTTTTCCCAACAGTATTTCAGTCTGAGTCATATAGGCGGGTAGTTTCCTAACCATCGTTCCTGGAGAGTTACACCAGTACTAGACTACCTTCCTCCGCGCTAAACTACCAAAGCATCTCCCGGGGATCGAACCCACACCAATGAGGTAACTGGATTAGAAGTCATGGACTCTAACCCCTCGACCACGGAGGGGGTTGGACCCTTCATTTAACTTAATGAATATGTCTGATGGAGTTGTCAAACCTTTCTTTTCAATGCCACAGTGTTAGTTCAATGGATTTCAACCTAGCTATTAAAAGCATGGTCAGACTGCATGAATGTTAAGAGGGCCATCTGATTTTCATATGAAGTAATTCACACAGTAGGTAATGAAACAGGGGCAACCGTGGCCACGTCGGTGGTTCTACTCAGATGCCCGTTTGTGCCTGAAATAATGCACAGAAGGGCACCTGAGGTCTTCCTCCACCAGAAAAGCTGAAACATTGTCATATGACCTATACTGTGCCGGTGAGACGTGAAACCCAATCAAAGAAAAAGAAAAAAAGAGGTAATGAAACAGGAAATTAATTTTCGTTGCTTGGCAATTCAGCTTTATTTAAATGTCAATGACTGATTTTGCAGTATTAATCACCAGAAAATTATTTCTACTTCATGACTAACACAGGAAGGGCTACTAGTATTTTGCGTATTTAGACCTTTTTTTTGGGGTAATTTGTGTAGATTGTAAATTCCATTTGCAAATAGTAAATTATTATGAGATTAGCACATTTTTCGTTGTAGCATTTACAGGCTAATTCTACAGCCGTCAATCCATTGTTGTCTGATTATTCTCTTTGTTCACTTTACAATACTTTTTATTTGTTTGAGTCGTCAGACCAAACAAATAATGGTAGCGAAATTTCAGACCCTGATGTTTTTATTTGCAAATGCCGAAAGTAGTTCAAACTCCTCGAAGCGGTTACTTCCCTTCACAAGTACATTAAAGCCGAAAAATTAAGGGTAGATCACTTCGTAAAGATTGTCAAATGACAGGCGCATTAATTTTCGTAACAAAAAATAGTTCCCGACTGGGCGAAGATTTCTAATATTGTGTTATTCTTATAGATATACATGCTTATATTCAGCTCCATGATTATTTACTTCAGTGTTAAACAGCAGGTTTACTGTGTACAAAATATATCGAAATTAATAAGGGTTACAAACTCTAATTAAGAATAATATGGTATTCTTCAGGCTGTTATCTTATAGCAACCCATGGTAGAGGGGTTTACATCTCGCTTTAGAAGCGAGAGGTCCGGAGTTCAAATCCCAGTTCAGGCTCATGTTTTTTTTTTAATTGATTAAGCCAAATAAACATTGAAATGAAAATCAGTGTTGCAATTAGTCTTATAGCCAATTTACTATAGTTATAACACTGGAAACAGAATTTAGTGACACTTTACAAGTCTCACAACACCTTTCTGACATTCTGAGACCCAAACAAATTCAGCGCCTTCTGTGCTTTGATTAGTGTTTGAAATTATTTTTTGTCCAATAGGATTGCAGTATTTCAAATGAATTGTAACATAATTACTTTGGTAAATCGGCAAACTGTTAATCAGTCTATAGTAAGTAGACTGTTTATAGAAATAATCTAAAACACTAAGCCTGTTAAAATTTATTAGTATGTATTTACAAAATTAAATTGGTTGCACATGTACGTATATATCAGCACAGCCGCACCATCAATTTAATTTTGTAAATTTGTAACATACTTGAAAAATTTAACCAGCTTTAAGTGTTTTATTTTTATAAACAGTTGATTTACTATATTGATTAAATTTAGCCAATTCACCAAAGTAAATGCGTTATGATTTATTTGAAATACTGCAATTCTATTGGATAAAAAATCATTTCAAACACTAAAACAGTGTTAGATATTTGATAATCCTAAAAAAAAGCTAAGTATGAAACTAGTACTTTGAACTTTGGACTCAGAGGTACATACTAAGCAGTTTTGTATAACTATCTCTGAAAAGCAAACATCTCTCAGATAATTTGGTATCTTTATATTTCATATAAATTCTTTTTTAATCCTTTAAAGATAACCAATTTTCTTTACATTTTTGTTAACAACTCTGGCATGTTTAAACTCCTCGACTCTAAAATAGTTTGTTTAATATAAAACTTGGCTTTAAAGATTTATACTTATATATATATTATACATGACACTGTCCTAAATTATGATTCTGACAAGTAAGTGACATAAATTTCACATTGTTTTACTCTACGTTAATTTACAGGTTTTACCTATACATACTGTTAAACTGCTATACAGTTAAGCTGTCGTTAAATTATAAACGCTAAAAGTTTCGTAAATTCGCAAACAGGAACATAAACACTTCAACGAGATCAAAATAACCGGTACAGTTCAAAATAATGGACACAATAAATGAGCCTTCTGAAGACAAAGTAAGTCTTATTATAATTATCCTTGTTTTTATATATTTACACAATCTGTTTTGACTTAATTATTATACACAATAAATAATCAGTTTTGAGTCATACTAATTTAGCACCTGTTGGGTTTTCTCTATTTACTATCCCATTATTCACCTGAATTTGTGTAATGGATTTGCCCAGGTTTTAAGTTGGAACAGTCCATAATCAAGGTTCAAGGGATTTCATGTCACATTCCTACATTAAACGCTTATAATGACCACTGCTTTTCAAAACTTTATCATTAAGCTAATTCGTCATCCAATGATGTCAAATTTGGACATAATGTCACTTAAATATAATTAAGGTGACAACGGAGTCAATTATCACTGAAAAAACCTAAAATGAGATTTTTTGCTTCGTAGATTTATCAACCATTTCTGAACACATTCGTGATTTAATTTTGGAAGCAGTTTGTCCAAAAAATGTGTTTTTAAACGTTTTTAAACGGCACCTGTACCAATTTTATCTGCTATTCGCGTAACCTGTCAATTATCGATAACGCTCCGCCCCCTGTTGAGGCATCAATGAGGGAAATTGGTAGTTCCATATATCCGTGAATTACCGGTCCATACTGGTCCATACTACTCGTAATTCATGTATCGTACAAATACCGTACATCTTTTATGAATATCGTCAACCTTTTATTTAGCCTTTTTTATAATATAAGAAATTGTCGGCCAATGTACGTAACATAATGTATAAAACATAAACAATTAAGAATAGCGGCAAATCGCACGACCACGGGGTTGTTTAAAAATATGGTTGCTAAAATATCCATAATGTGTGAAAATAATTTGTCTGTCCCGTTAATCTGATAGATATTACATTGAGTTTATGGACTTTTGAACGGATTCAATGGCTTGCTTTACATTCAACCTCGTTTTCTAACAATGTCAAGTAAAACAACAACAAAAACAGACAACTTTTTTATGTGAACGCCTATATGACTTGCGGTATGGTGTCCCTGACAAATTTCTAAACCATTTTAGATTGTTTAAGGATGATTATTTCTCTATGAATCAATAAAAAAAAATTAATATATATTATCAGTGTATGCTTTGAATACATTGTTCGCCAGTAAATCGAACACAGTACAGTAAAAACTCTGAAAACCGGACCCTCTCCGGACTGGACCAAAAGTCCGGTTTTCAGAGGATTCCGGTTTTCAGAGGTTTTATACTTTTATTGATAATTATGATGTGTTTGAACTATGACTTTGTTCAAACATTTTGTATTTACTTTTTAACACTTTTGTCTAAGTCATATTTTAATTTCTTTTAGCAATAAATGTCTTAAGTAATTTTATTATGCAAATCCATGAATATAATTCAGAAAATCAGAAATTAAAACAACACATTGTCTGAAATATATCTTTTTAATTGGCTTTTGAAATATGTAATTAATGGAATTTAGTATTACTATTTTTGCATATAATAAATATCCAAACAAATATCAAAATTTTTAGCAAAGCAGGAATCATTTTTACAAAAGTTTCCCAAGTTTTTTAGACATTTTATATTTAAAAAAAAACACAACAAATTAAAAACATT